AGCGAGAGGAGAGAGAGTTGGAGCGGCGGCAGCTGGGGCTACAGCGGCTGGAGGAGCAGCAGCAGCAGCAGCAGCAGCCGGAGCAGCAGCAGCAGCCGCAGCCGCAGCAGCAGCCGCCACCTCCTCCTCCTGTCTCCGGTCTTCGGACCCTCGGTCTCCCCTCCCCCTCTCCTCCCGTCTCTGGCCCTCCACTTCCTCCTCCTGACCCCTCCCCAGCTGTTTTCCCTCCTACTCTGCCTCCGTTGTCCCCTCCTCTTCCTCACACTTGGCCTTCGTGTCGCTCTCCTCGTGCTCGTCCCTCGTCCCCTGTTCCCTTCTCTGACCTTCGTACTGCCCTGTTTTGTTCTAGTCCGCCTCGTTCGTCTCCTTCTGTACTTCCTTCTCCTCTTGAGTCGGCTCTCACTGCTTCCCACTCTACTCCTGTCACGGCCTACTACCGCACGTACCGTCCTGTTCTGTCTCCTGTTCTCGCCTCTCTTGTTAACGACCATCGTGCGTCTCTGTCCTCTGTCTCCGCCCTTACTGCCGCAATCGCTGAGTTTGCCTCTACTCGCCGCCTTGACTACGCCACCAGTCTTGTGGCTGCTCCGCCTACCAGTCCTCTGGCCATCGGGGGTGAGTCTGCCCTTGGCTGTGACGCCCTAGAGGACAGGCAGTTTGAGCTGGAGTTCCTGGCAGCCGCTTCCCCTCATCTCTGTGCCATGCTGCTCGCCCATGAGGGAGTGTCAGAAAGAATGAACGGGAATGGAATGAACTAGCAGCAGGTGGGTACAAGTAGCAAACCCTAATTGGGTTGTACCCCATATGGGCTACCCCACTATAGCCTACACAATAAGCAGCATATAAGTTTGACACACCCCCATAGGCAAAGTGGGGGAGAACATGAGGTCACAAGACCAGTCAAGAAAAGCAAAGCAAGCTCAGGGTGGATCACGAAGTCACCACGCATTCTAAGCACAAACAAATGGCCACAAGGCCAGTTCACATGCAGAGTTATATAAAGGAGAACAAGCAATACAGTGATCACAACCAAGCAATTGTAAGCATGCAGGTATATGTATAGAGATCACAGTACAAGCAAAGTTAAGAAGTGAGCAAGTGAGGCCAAGTAGGCACAAGGCCTAGAACAGTACAGAAACGCTGATGATCACAAGGCTGAAGTGCCTTGGTGAAGATATCAGCAGTGTTGGCCCTAGTGGCCACGTAAGCAAGACGAAGCTGACCACGCTGCTGCAACTCTCGAGCAAGGAAGCAGCGCAGAGCGATGTGCTTCGTTCTGTGCTCCAGTCTGTGCTCCTGACACAAGGCAATCATGGCCTTGTTGTCGACATACAGAAATGGAGGAGAACGAGGCGGCTCTCCCAGGTCGGCCAGTAGGTAGGTGAGCCAGCGTAGCTCCTGTGCAGCCATGGCCCCTGCGTAGATCTCAGCCTCACAGCTGGAGCTGAGAACAGAAGACGAGCGGGTAGACCGCCACGAAACAGAGCCGGAGCCAAGGCTGAAAGTGTAACCCTGTGACGACCGCTCCGTAGCCAGGTCGTCAGCCCAGGAAGCGTCTGCGTGACCAGTGAGGACAACTCGAGCCCGTCCTCCAAGCACGAGCCCCATGCCCGACGTACTGCACAAGTAGCGCAACACCCTCTTAGCGGCATCCATGTGCTCCTTCCGGTGTCTCCCAGGAGCAACATAGTGTGCCAGGATGCTAAGAGGGTAGGCAAGGTCAGGTCGAGTGCAGGTCATCAGGTACATGAGGCAGCCCACAAGCTCTGGATACGGGTCACTCCGCTCTACGGACTCATCCGAAGGCAGAGCTGAGAGCGAGTGACCAGTAGGCAGAGGAGTGGACTGTGGCGAGGAGTACGTGAAGCGGAAGCGCTGAAGGACCTGCTGCACCATGTGTGACTGAGTCAAGGTAATGGTGCGCTGTGCTCTGTCCCGGGTGATCTGCAAGCCAAGATAGCTGCGCAGCTCACCCAGGTCTGTGCACGTGTGTCTCTTCACGTGGGCGAGTCCCTGAGTGTCAGCAGTAGCAAAGACCAAGTCGTCGACGTACACGAGAATGTAGAACAGCGGCAGAGTTGTGTTGGTGCGTAGAAACAGCGACGGGTCAGCAGTGGAAGGAGCAAACCCAAGAGCCGCCAGAGTCGTCCTCAGTGTGTCGTGCCACTCTCGGGGCGCCTGGCGGAGACCGTAGACTGGCCGCCGGAGGCTCCATTGGGTACCTGCAGGAAACGACCCAGTGAAGCCAGGTGGGCGGCGCAGCCAGATCTCCTCGTGCAGGCTGCCCTGTAGGAAGGTTGTGCTGAAGTCAAGAGAGTGAATCTCGTAGTCACGCTGAGCGGCAACATGCAGCAGCACCCGAAGAGTGGTCATCTTCGGGGTAGGGGAGAAGGTCTGGAAGAAGTCAAGTACCATGGACTCAGAGATGGTCTCCTACATATCCACAGGCACCTACGTCGACGAGGTTCCCCCCCCTGGGGCGAACGTAGTCGATGGCATGTGGATCTTCAGGGTGAAGCGGCCACCGGGATCTCCTCCGGTTTTCAAGGCGCGCTATGTGGCTAGAGGTTTCAGACAGCGCGAGGGAGTTAACTTCTTTCAGACCTTCGCGCCTACCCCGAAGATGACCACTCTTCGGGTGTTACTACACGTAGCAGCACAGAGAGACTACGAGTTACACTCTCTCGACTTCTCCACTGCCTTCGTTCAGGGTAGCCTACATGAGGAGGTCTGGCTGCGTCGTCCCTCTGCCTTCATTGGCACTTTCCCTCCTGGGACCCAGTGGAGGCTGGGGCGACCGGTCTACGGTCTCCGTCAGGCTCCTCGTGAGTGGCACGACACCCTGCGCTCTACCCTTTCTGACCTTGGTTTCTAGCCGTCTTCTGCAGACCCGTCGCTGTTTGTTCGGCGTGGCTCCACACCGTTCATTGTACTGGTCTACGTCGACGACCTGGTTTTCGCCACTGCTGACAGGGTTGCTTTGGCTGACGTGAAGCGCGAACTGCAGAAGAGACACACGTGCACTGACCTTGGTGAGCTGCGCCACTACCTTGGCCTGCAGATCACTAGGGACAGAGCCGCTCGCACCATTACACTCTCACAGTCACACATGGTGTAGCAGGTCCTTCAGCGGTCCGAGCTTCAGCACTCCACAGTACAGCGCACACCTCTTGCTGTTGACCACAGACTCACTTAACCCTTTCCTGACGAGCCGTTTGAGCCTAGTGGTCCTTACGCAGAGCTTGTGGGCTGCCTCATGTACCTGATGACTTGTACTCGCCCGGACCTCGCCTTCCCTCTCAGCATCCTTGCTCGCTTTGTTGCGCCAGGGAGACACCGTCCAATTTACTAGACAGCTGCTGTGAGGGTGGCGAAGTACCTAGCGACGACATCAGGCGCGGGGCTGGTTCTTGGAGGGCAGCAGTCTGTTGTACTTACTGGTCACTGTGACTCTTCTTACGCTGACGACGCCGAGACTCACAGGTCTACTCATGGGTACTGCTTCAGCCTGGGCTTTGGAGCTATTTCGTGGAGGTCTACGCGTTCCTCCTCGGTCTCGACCTCTATTGCTGAGGCTGAGATCTACTGGAGCCATGGCTGCACAGGAGCTGCGTTGGTTGACCTTCTTGCTCATCGACCTTGGTGAGCGGCCGAGCTATGCACCGACCTTGTTCACTCACAACAAGGCATCGATTCTCCTCTGTCGAGATCCGCGACTGGAGAAAAGTGAAGCATATCAACGTCGGGTGCTTTCTTCTGCGAGAGTTGCAGAGGCGTGGACAGGCTCGCTTCGACTTTGTGGAGTCCGAGGCCAACACTGGAGACATCTTCACCAAGGCGCTTCCGCCTTGTGACCACCAGAGATGTTGTGTGCAGTTAGGTCTCGTTGACACAGGTTCTCGCCTTGCGTAGTCTTGAGTTCTTTTCTTGCTTTGTTTGTACTGTGAACTCTTAAACTGGCCTTGTGGCTCTTTTGCTTGTGCTCGGAGTGTGTGGTGACATTGTGATCCACCATGAGCTTTGTTTCTTTGTGACTGGTCTTGTGACCGTACACTCTTGGTTTTGCTTGACACCCCTCACCTCCTTCCCTTTCAATGCAGTGTTCTCACTCTCGTCTTGCCTCTTCCCCTTCTGCTGCAGTGCGCTCGCTCTCCCCTCACCTCCATCCCTTTAATTGCAGCGCTCCCACTCTCTTCTCACCTCCTTCACTATCACTGAAGTACCCTCACTCTCCCATCACCTCTTTGTCACAATAGATTTATATCTATTTAGTATAATCTGTCTGTAGTGTAGCTGTTGTGTAATTCCCTTGTATGGTGGTGCACCTCTTTCATCTTTGTTAGGTTGCTATATGTACTCGTGTGCTATAGTGAACCTCCAACCATTTTCAATTCCTCCTTGGCACAAACTACTCGACACCCGTTTGGCCTAGGCTACTAAGCCTAGGCCCTTAATTAAACCCGGTTACTAGCTCAGATCGTATCGTAACATGGTATCGAGCTACTAAGATCCTACTCCTAGGTGAATGGGCCCATCACCAGCTGTCGATATGACGCGCCCCGTCGATCAGGTCGTTGCGCAGCCCGTTACGTGCATCGCTGGCCCGTCGCTCGCCCGTCGCCCCACCGGCTCGAGGTCCCGCTGCTGCTGCGCTAGCGACGACGAGCTGTGCGAGGGCGCTCGTCGCGCCCCACCGTTACGGCCCCCCCAGTTCACCTGCGGACCCGCGAGCAAGAGAGACAGCGGATCCGCGGACCCGCCTTCAGCGAGCGAGCCAGCGGACCCGCGAACCTGCCTTCAGCAAGCCCGTCGACGGACCCGCCGACGGGCTCGTCACAGGGCCCGCCGACGGACCCGCCGTCGGACCCGCCAACGAGAGCGCCAGCAAGCCCGCCTGCGACCCGCCACCCGCACCCGCGCGACCCGTTCCTGCCCCGCTTGCATCTGCTGCGCCAGCTACTGCCGTTTCATCCCGTTCCCGCCGCCCCACCCGGAACCCGATGCCCCACCTGTACTCGGCCGCCTGCCCGTCTCCCCCCCCGTCGCAACTGTTCGCGTGTGCAGCGGCGGTCGCTGTGGGTGGGAGAGGGAGGACGGGAAGGGATTGGCGGCCCAACCGACGCGCCAGCCAGCTCGCACCCCGCCCATCTCCCGTACGCCACCCGCATCTGCACGACCTGTCCCTGCCCCTCCCCGTCCCTCCCTCGTCGCGCCTTCCCCCTCTACCGCGCCTGCCTATGCCGTGTTGGGCGGTGGTGGGTGTGGAGGACAGTGGGGGCGGCGGCGGCGGGAATGGCTGGAGTTGCGGGAGTGGCGGGATTGGCGGCTCATGTGGGGGGGTGGGGGAGGCGTGGGGGAAAGGGGTGGTGGGCGGCTGTCAGCAGTGAACGCCTGCGCAAGCGCCAGAACTGCCGCCAACGCCTACCGCCCGTCCGTCTTCCCTTCCCCCCCTCCCCGTCGCCTTCACTACCGCGACTGCAGCTGTTGGGGGGGGAGTGACATGGAGGGGGTGATCAAACTGCAGCAATTGTCGCCACGCCTCCTCCTCTCTCTCTCTGCCGCTGTTGCTGCTGTGGGGGGGAGGTTCAGGGGGTGTGGGTGGATGTTCCAGCTGCAGCAACTGCCACCACACCTCCTCCTGTCATCCCCCCACCCCGTGTCTCCCGTGCTGCTACCCCGTCGTTCCTGTGCCCCACCTGTGCTGTCCGTACCTGATTGTGCCCCACCCGTTACACCCGTGCTGTCCGTACCCAGTCGTGCCCCACCCGTTCCACCCGTTCCACCCGTTCTGCCCGTGTCCTGCCCGTGTTCTGCCCGTGATTCTGCCCGTACTGCTGCCCGTGATTGTGCCCGTGATTATACCCGTGTGTTGCCCGTATTTTGCCCGTGTTCTGCACGTGATCCTGACTGTGATTCTGCCCGTGATTCTGCCTGTGATCCTGCCCGTGTTGCTGCCCGTTCCCGTGCCATACTGACCGTGCACCTCCTGTGCTCCCGTGATCCTGTGCTACTCATGCTTCTTGTGCTTCTCGTGCTGCCCCGTGGTCCTGTGCTGTCCCGTATTGCCCTTACTTCCCCGAGCTTGCCCCGTGCCCGTGCCCGTGCTGTCTGCCCGTGTTCCCTGTGCTTCTGCTCGTGCTCTACCCGTGCTGTTTGTTCCCGTGCGTGCCCCACCTGTACCACCCGTGCTGTCAGTGCCCGTGCTGCCCCGTTCTGCCCGTGCTACCTCGTGCTCCTGTGCTGCCCCCGTGTTCCCGTGCTGCCCCCGTGTTCCCATGCTGCCCCCGTGCTGCCCCGTTCAGCCCTTGTGCTGCCCTGTTCTGCCTGTGCTGCCCCGTTGTCCCCTTGTTGCCCCGTTCTGCCCGTGTTGCCCCGTTCAGCCCGTGTCCTGCCCCGTTCAGGCCGTGTCCTGCCCCGTTCTGCCCGTGTTGCCTCGTTCAGCCCGTGTCCTGCCCCGTTCTGCCCGTGTTGGCCTGTTCTGCCCGTGCTGCCCCGTTCTGCCCGTTTGTGTCCTACCCGTGCTGTCCGTACCCGTTGGTGCCCCACCCGTGCTGTCAGTTCTCGCTCGTGCCCCACCCGGTCTGTGCTGCCCGGTCTCGTGCTGCCCGTCACCCCCGTGCGGCCCGTCCCGTACAGCACGTAGTTGCTACCCGAACCCGCTACCCGTACCCATGCTCCTCGCACACCGTGCACCAGCTGCGGGGCGTTCAACCGCAGCCGGGCACCTGTTCCACCGCGGTGGTTCAGATGCTGCTTGGTGGTTGCTGCTTGTCAGCTTCAGAGGGGGGCCCTTGCTGGTGTTCCCACGCCCTGTAATGGGGTTTTACAGGTGTACCCCTTCAAGGGGGGCTCTGCACATGGTTATGCACTTCAGGCAGATAGGGGGTGTGTCACAATAGATTTATATCTATTTAGTATAATCTGTCTGTAGTGTAGCTGTTGTGTAATTCCCTTGTATGGTAGTGCACCTCTTTCATCTTTGTTAGGTTGCTATATGTACTCGTGTGCTATAGTGAACCTCCAACCATTTTCAATTCCTCCTTGGCACAAACTACTCGACACCCGTTTGGCCTAGGCTACTAAGCCTAGGCCCTTAATTAAACCCGGTTACCAGCTCAGATCGTATCGTAACACTCTTGCCTTGCTTTCAACCTCTCCTCGCATCTTTCCCTTTAGTACCCTCATCCACACCTCATCGCTTATCCTTGCATCCTTGACATGCCTTGGAACCACCCCCGCTGCCGGTGAGTGCCGTGGAAGTTCTGGATGGCAATGGGGCAGCGGGGCTCACAGCCTTTTCTAGAACGTTCCGGCAGCGGCGCAGCTGGGGAGAGGGCTGTGGCAGGAGGGGCAGGGAGGGCAGGCGGGGTATTAGGGAGCACGGTGCGTGCCTTGGCATCACCGACGCACTGATGGGTGCGCGCAGGGTGCTCAACAGATTCTGGCGGAGGCAAAGAGGAGGAGGCAGCTGTGGCAGGAGGGGAAGGAAGGGAAGCAGGGGCAGGAAGGTAATGAAGGGCAGGAAGAGCAGGAAGCAGTATGTGCTTGAGTGGTGGGGCGTATAGGCTGCTAAGGAGCATGTTGGCGGAGGCGGGAGTAGGGGAGGCAGCTGTGCCAGGAGGGGCAGATGGAGCAGGAAGCGGTTGGTGCATGAGTGATGGGGCGGTTTGAACAGCGTGCTGGCGGAGGTGGAGTGGGTAAGAGAACAGTGTGGCATGGCAGGAGGGGCAACATAGGCCGGGCAAGGAGGTGCTTTGCCGTCACGCACACACTCACACTGGTGGGGACCACAGCTTTCCGGGTGAGGGGTTGGCTGGTGGAGGCACAACCAGGAAGGCAGCTGTGGCAGGAAGGGCAAGCGGAGTGGTGGAGAGAGTTGTAGCAGGAGGGGCAGGCGGATCGTGATTTCATTGGCGTAACTCCCACCTTCTGCCTATGTCATGCCTCTTGCCTCACTTTCCCATCCCCCACACCCTCACAGGGCACGCTGCCGTTCTGGCAGAGGCAGTTATGGCCGGAGACGGCGTGGCAGGAGGCAGAAGGTAATGGAGAGAGGGGATGGGCATGAGAGAGAGGGGGAGAAGGCCCGCGTTTGCAGAGGTCGACTGGAGAGTGATGGGGCACAGAGCGTTCTTTATGGTGCTCGTATGGTGCGAAATTTTGAGATGCCTGTATTATTTTGTTGGACCGCAGGGGCCCAATGCACAGTGATGCGGTTGAGTGCGGTGTTAATGGTGTGTTTGCGGAGGCATACGGGTTTGTGGAGGCAGACGGATGGGAGATGGTGGGCACAGAGAGGGGTAGATGGATGGGGAGGTGATGGGGGCAGAGAGGAGCAGATCGATAGGGGCAGAGAGGGACAGATGGAAGGTGACAGAGAGGATTCTTCCTCACCCTAGCCACCCCCAGCTAGCTCTCGCCTCGTTACCTTACGTCTGTGCCTCCCATCTTTCTGTCTGTTGAACGCCTCCAAAAAGAAAGTGCGCCCTTTGAGCCCTTTCTCACCCTTGCCCTCTGCCAAGTTCCTCCCTAGTCAGGTCTGTTGCTCTCTTAATCATCTTCCTCACCCATCCCGCTACCGTGCCCTTCGTACTTGCAAGCTCCCCATCTGCTGGTTCCTCGTGCCCTCCTCCATCCCCGCTAATGTGTTCCTATCATCGCATTAGCCCATACTGTGCGACGTGTCAGGATGCAAGCATCGTTACGTCAACCGCAAAGGAGTCCTGAAACAGGGGGAATTCTTTGGCAACTGTTACAATCCCAAGTGGGACTTAGCGAAGGATTGCTCAGGGTTGATCGCAGAGTAGTGTTGCAGCGGAAGTTTGAATCTCAGGTCAGAGTGAATGTAAATGACTGAGTTGATAAAAGCATGCATACATCGGGTCTATATAAGAGTACAGGGGAATACGAAAAGACCTAGGCTAGCCATGTACTCTAAGGGGTACATTCCCTTATTCTAACCAAATTCAAACCGTGCGGCGCGGGAACCCGTTTCAAACCTGTTCCCGCTCTTTTCACTTCAAATGTTTCTGCCTGCATCGGTCTTGGTCAGACGGTTGCTGCGTCGCTTCGACTCTTCTGACTCCTCGACTTCATACTCGGTAGAGTCGGCTCCTGCAGCATACAGGAATGCCTACTCATGTAATTTCATATCGTAACACTCCCCTTCATTCCTGGGCGCAGGAGGAGCTGACTCGCTTGACTACTCCGGTGAGGTCAGAGCAGTGCTTGTACTGCTGACGTGGCAGGCGCTTGGTGAGGAAGTCTGCTGCCATCTCAGTAGTCGGGCAGTAGGCGAGGTCAACTTTTCCTTGGTCAATTTCGTCCTTGACGAAAAAGTACCGGAGTGCGATCTGCTTCGTGCGGTTCACAAAACCTGGCTTGTTCGCAATCCTGATGGCACTCTGGTTGTCGCAGTGGAGGCGAAAGGTTGGCAAAGTTGGAATTTTTGCCTCCTGTAGCAGCTCCTGCAGGTACAGGCCTTCGCGAACTGCTGCTGTCGCGGCGATGTATTCTGCTTCAGCCGATGACAGGGCAACCAGCTCCTGTTCTGCGAGTTCCAGGAGATTGGCCCAGTTGGTTCCAAGCGAAAAACGAAGCCGGTTCGGGACCGTCGATTTGCAGGGTCAGCTGCATGATCTGCGTCCACATAGCCATTGAGGCTGAAGGAGGTGGTCGTCAGCGTGGAGTAGGAGAGCCCGAGATGAAGTACTGCAGGGCGCGCTCCAGGTCCAGCTGGTTCTCAGCTACTGGCTTGCGGGAATACTGTGCCAGTTGGCTAGCAATGTACGAGAGGTCGGGGCGGCAGGTGACAGAGGCGTATAGCAGGCACCCCAATTTCTGCTGGTACATTTGGAGTCCTGCGGGTGACAGAGGTTTGTTGTCTGGTTTGTAGTTGGCGCTGGGGTTGCGGTAGGGAGTTGAGAGTGGTGCGGGTGAGATGTTGAAGCCTTCCCCCAGCTGCTCTGCGTACTTTGAGGCTGACAGGTGAATTGCTTCTGGCGCGTAGGTAATGTTTAGCCCCAAAAACTGCTTCACGTTGTGGTTGATGGTGATGTCCACGGGCTGCGCCAGGTTCTCCTCAAACTGGTTAAGGAGTTTGTTGCAGGTGCCCGTGTACAGTAGGTCGTCGACGTAGACTGTCAGGAAAATGTAATCGCCGCTGAAGAGAAGGCGATACATTCCCGGGTCGTGCGGCAGCTGCTTGAAACCGATCTCCAGGAGAATTTTGTGCAGATGCTGCTGCCAGAGACGGGGCGCCTGCTTGATCCCGTAGAGGGACTTCTTCAGCTGACAGACCCTAGGATCCCCTTCACCGTAGGTGTGAGGCTGCTCCACGAAGATGGTGGCGTCCACCAACGCGTATAGAAACGTGTTCTTCACGTCGATCTGTCGCAGTGGTAGGTGCTTAGCGGCGGCAATGGCGAGTAGGATTCTGACGGAGGTGTGACGACTAACGGGAGCGAAGGTCTGGTCGAAGTCGATGCCGTGGCGCTGATCGTACCCACGTACGACCCAGCGTGCCTTGAATCGCTCGATGGTTCCGTCAGCGTTAGTCTTCAGGCGAAAAAACCATTTTCCGCTGAGTACCCTTCTCCCCTTCACTGCTGCACGATCGACTAGGACCCACGTGTCTTGAGATTCCAGCGCTTTCAGCTCCGCATCCATCGCTGCACGCCACTCCTTGGCGTGAGGACCGGTCAGAGCCTGGCGAGGATTCTTTGGCTCCACGGCCCGTGCGAGAGTAGTGACGGACGTGTGTAGGCCGAGTAGTTGCAGGCCGGACACATTGGTGGTGTCTGTGTTGGTGGGAACTTCCACCACGTCGTCATCTCCGCTCTCGTAGCCGGGCGTTGAGGTGCTTGCCTCTGCTTGGCGCCGTGATGGACCTGGCGCGGGATCATCGTCACTGTCATCGTCGTCGTCGTCGCGCGGACGAGGCGGGATGCTTGGGTGTTCGTCGGTGTCGTCGCGGTCCAGTGCTGCTGCTGTTGCCTCGTCTTCTGGAGTCTTGAAGCTGCGACCGCTGTTGACGTAGCCGCGTGCTTCATTGCGCCGCTCGTCCTCGATCCACTGCTTCAAGGTGAGCCGCTCGTAGAAGAGAATATCGCGCGCGGGAACAACCTCTTTGCTGTCCATGTCGAGGATGAGCCAACCCTTGTGCTCATTACTGAGGCCCAAGTGAATACCCCAGCGCGCGCGATGAACGAACTTGCCGATGGTGGCCGATGTGGGCCGGTACTGCACCATGCACCCCCAGACCCTTAGCATGGAGGGGTCTCCCCTTGAGCCGGTCCACTTCATGTGAGGGGACAGGTTGTCCCTGTTGGCGGTGGTGGAGAGGAGGTTGTGCAGGCGCACTGCGTGGTTCATGGCGTAGGGCCAGAACTTCTTCGGCAGGCCGGACTGGTTCATGAGTGCGCGCACTTTTGTCATGAGGGTGCGGTTAACCCTCTCTGCGACGCCTTGCTGCTGGTGAGCGTAGGGGAGTGAGATCTCATGCTTGATCCCCTTCTCTGTGAGGACACTCTCCAGTTCGTTGCTGCGGAATTCCTTAGCCCCATCACTCTGCCAGATCTTCAACTTCCTTCCTGACTGGCGCTGCGCGTGCGCGAGGAAGATGCGGAATACTTCCGGAGCCTTGGAGCGAGCGTCAACGTTGGCGATCCACACATGGCGCGAGTAGGCGTCAATGAAGGTGAGTGTATATTTCTCGCCGTTGATGCCGTCGAAGGTGAGCACGATGAAATCGCTGTATACTTTCTCCAACTTCTTGTAGCGGTTGGTGCTCGGCTCCAGGGAGGGGTAGGCGCTGTGAGAGAGAGCAGCTGTGGGGCAGACAGTGCAGGTGACTGGGTGAGCGGTGTTGTGTGGTTCTGTTCTGTCGGGACGCAGCAGTGCTCCTGGCGGAAAAACTTTAGCGCGGAGGCAGTTGGCGAGGGTCTGGCGCGAGGGGTGTCCCAGCCGCTGGTGCCAGAGATCATCTTCGGCGCGGATGCCGGAAGTGCGCTTGTAGCGAGCGAGGTATTCTGCCGCTTCTGCTTCCATGACTTGCGGGATCTGGAGTGGGGGTTCTTCCTCTTCTCCTGGTTCCGGTTCGTTGTCCGGCTCCTCTGCTTCTGCTTCCGCTTCCCCCGTTGTCTCCCCTTCTGCAGGTGCCGTTGTGAGGTAGAGGGCGAGGAATTCGCGGTCGGGGATGATAGTGAGCGGAGTCGTGGTACCTTCAATGAATCGAGCGAACGGATCTGGGCGGGAGATTGGACCAAGTGAGTCCCGCGGAGGAGTTGGCGGTACATTCCCCTCCTCAATCTCCGACCATCGATCACGCCACCGATAGGGGGAGGAGGGAGGTGAGCTGGTGCGCGGGGGTCGACCGAGTGGAATGGCGACACGAGGGGATGGTTCTCCACGCTCAGATTTCATCTCGCGTTCTATCGCTTCTTCTTCTTCTTTGGTGAGCGGAGCGTCCGCGTATTCATCTCCTCCCCATCCGCCGGTGTTGCCCCATCCTCCCGTGGTGACCATGCCGCTAGCGCTGGCTCCCCATGCTCCAGTGGCGGATCCCCAGGTTGCGCCTTCTTCTGGTTCGTAATCTTCATCTCCCCATGCGCCTCGTCGTGCTGACTCCTCGTCCCATCCAGCCGCGACACGTTCCTCAAACAGTTTCTGTTTCTTTTCCGCCCGGGCCTTGTCTTCTTCTTCCTTGACGCTGAGCTTCTCTGGTGCGTCAGGATCTTTCCAAGCCGGGTCAATTTCGCGGCGGTAAACTTTGCGGGTGTAAGGACGCGGTCGTCCATCTTCGTCGAGGGTGGTGGTGTTAGCTTCCAGGACGAACCGGAGGTTTTCCGAGGATAGCCCTGTCCGCTCCTCTCGCTGAAGTCCGAGGTCGTCGTTTGCTTCGCCGAAGATGCGGTAAGACGACACAGCGAGTTCTTCTTCAGTCATGCCTGTTGTTTCCGCCTCGGCACTCTCCGCTTCCTGGATTGCTGCGTACTCCCTTTTGACTTGCTCTGTGCGGCTCGCCGTGGGTGTGTGGCAGGTGGTGCAGAGTCCATTGATGTCTGGCTCGTGCAGATTGACCTCGCGAGGATGGGGACTGCGGCGAATCCATGGTCGTCCGTCTGGGTGCTCCCTTTTGCTCGTGTAGGCGAACTCGAGAGGAACGAGGTCCACGAGCTCATCGGATGATGCTTGACAGGAAGGTACGTCGAAGTCGAGGACATAGATTCCGTTGATCGAGCGGGCTCGTCCGAGATATTTGAACGACTCGGGAGGGGTATCTGGGGGAGCGTATGTGAGAATGAGGTCGCGTGTGTCGAGGTCCGTGGTGAGAATGACGCCGCAGTCGCGAAGTTGTCCTGCCGAGAGAAGATTGAAACGAAGATGTGGGACGTAGAGTACGTCGTTAAACGAAATGTGACTGTTGCTGTCTCTTGCTTGCAGGACCACGATGCCTTGCGCATTGGCGCGCAGTTGCTCGTTGTTGGCGACGGTGACATAAGTTGGGGGGGCGCGGCTCAGGTTGAGACGTATCGCGTGGATCCCACCATGTGTTGTCCGCAGTAGCTGTCCAGGTACCAGGTGTTGTGGTTATCAATGTTGTTTCTGCGCAGAAGTAGCGCCAGTCGCGGAGTCACCAGGGTCGCCTTGTAGCGCATGTGGAAGA